TGGTTTAGTTCCCAAGCTAGCGTGATTAGCTCAGGAACTAACACTTCATTGCCATATGTATTAGCTTGGGTGCTAACGCAAAAGTTTAAAAAAAGGTAATGCAAACTTTGCCTGAAAAGCTTTAATGTGAACTAGATTTTATATTTCCCAGAAGAAATTTCTCCACCACAGGTCCTCCTCCTTGTGTTAGAAACCTGTTTTCCTCCAGTTCATCTTGTGTCTTTGTGTTTCAYAGGACTTTGGAAATCTCCCACCGCCACCCTTAGATGAGCTCCTCCCTCCACCTCCACCTGACCCGGTTCTCCCTCCTCAGCCACCGTCACTGGCCTCCAAACCCRCCGCCCCACAGCGACCCAATCCCAGCAGCTTCCCTCCACCCCCACTCGGACTGGACAACCTCCCTCCTCCTCCTYCGCCACCACCCCTGGACGACTCCTCAGAACCTCCACCAGACTTCCTCCCACCGCCTCCTCCGATGGCCGGCTTTGGCTCGCTGCCTCCGCCGCCTCCCCCTGCTAAATCTCTACCACCCCCACCAGCCGGTTTCAGAGGCTTTAACCAATCCCTGCCTCCTCCACCACCGGATCCTCAATTCCTACCACCTCCTCCCCCTGATCCGGTGTTCACAGGAGCTGGGGCTCCCCCACCACCTCCACCGCCTCCTCCTCCTCCTGCTCCTGCTTCTGCCACCCMACGGGCAGTCGGGCGGCCTGCCGGGTCTATAAAGAAGATGCCTCCTGCTCCCCCAAAGAGGACTACACCAGCGTTGCAGGGAGGAGGAGGAGGAGGAGGTGGAGGCGACTTCATGTCAGAACTGATGCTCGCCATGAAGAAACGTGGAGATAATTAGCTTCAGCAGAAAAACCGTASAGTACAAATAAAAACAAAACGAACTGCGTCAGATCGACCGGTTGGAAGACTTTATCCGGAACATTTTAAATGTACACCTTTTGAAGCAAACCCAACACACTGGTTTAAAAACATAAATGTATTGTTCGTTGGAGAACCAGGTTTGATTTATGAGAACAAGAATATACAGAACTTTTAATTTACAGCTATTTTCAAAAAAATGATTTGTACATATATTTGCATTTAAAAGCTGTAAATACTGTAAAAAAAACTTTTTTGTTTTTTTAGGATGTTATGCATTTAAATAACTGCTACAGAAAATAAAATTTCATAGAGTTGGAATATTTCTGGCAGCCAAAAGAAACTTACTAGCTGATTATTTGGTTCTAAATGTATTTGTTGTTTTTGTGTAATTTAAGTTTTCTACTGGAAAACATGCTCAGCCCTGAATAAATCTTCTTCTCAAGTTAAATTTAACAATAAAATGGAACACCCCTAAAAACAAATCAATTGAAAGTGTGAAAAAGTGTCTTGCTTTTTGTTTTCTGACAGTGTTGCCACATGATGCTATTTATTAAGAATTAAAAATGTGTTTTTTTACTAGAAGACTGTGACACATCTAATATTTCTTTTTAATGTGAAAGCAGGAACATTCAAACGTAGTTCCCTTTGTCCCTATAGATAAAAAAAAGAACAACTGTGCAGGGAATTACTTAGCTCAAAGCCTGAACCAGTTGACCTTTGACCTGTCAGCCCAGAATAGAAGTCTTGCTGCAAAGCTGAAGCTTTCTTCCTCTGCAGTGTTTCCCGGATGTGGAGCAGCAGCTTCACCTAGTGACAGGAACAAACAACTGCATCARTTTGTTGTCCATCAAACACCTTTCGGCTGATTTTTGAGAAAGGGTTTAGTTGTTCGCCTCTGCAAAACCATTTAGCTGTTCCCACTGCAGACTCTGTCGTTCAGTTCCACTGGTCACAGCTGAAGTAAAATCATGGGACATGTTTATGTTTTGCATCATTTGCTGTTAAATCAACTTGGTTGTTTTGTCGCAGTTCGCAGGCGATCCAAATCATCAATACTCCTTTGAACAAAAACAGCATTTAAAATATGTATTAGTAACAAATATTTTTTTTTATTCTTATCCCAATATTTTTTTGGCAAATAATAGCTATGACATTGCACACACAATTTACAGTATATTTAAAACAAGATTAGACCATTTTCACACTTTTTGTGCAGAGTCCCAGGAGCTGGTGGGAGACGCGGAGTACAACTTGGAACGATTGTACGTTTATCAAAAAAAAAATTGTGTTAAAAGGAACAATAATTTTTTTTATTAAGTGCGAATATTGACCGCAGCCGCACAAAGTAAAACGTGTTCCATAGTCTGAAGAAAGAAGTTGTTCATGAGGTAGCCTAAATTAACAATAAGGTCTCGGGTTCTAAATGATTTGCTTCTGTCTRTTGCCACAAAAAGTWAAWTTTGTTGACATTGCTACTGCCTTGAACTTACWTCCAGTGTTGCCAGATCTCTCRACATAAACAAGCAACCAGCYCTATGAAAACAAGCCCAAAATAAGCCCAACTGGCAACGCCTCACAATGTGTAAAATAGAGGTAAATTATAACAGTACTGTATAAATGTATACATGCTGTTAAGTGCCAGGAGGACTGTGACCAGTTATACATCGGGGAAACAAAGCAACCACTGTTCAAAAGAATGTCCCAACACAGACGAGCTACATCTAATGGCCAGAACTCTGCAGTTTTCACTCATTTACAGGCCAGCGGTCACTCTTTCAGAGATGAGGATGTTCTCATTCTTGACAGGGAGGAACGTTGGTTTGAGAGAGGAGTAAAAGAAGACATTTTTGTGAAGAAAGACCGTCCATCATTAAACAGAGGTGGAGGCCTCCGTTTTCAGTTGTCCCCCTACTACAGTGCTGCTATTGCCAGTATCACTCCACCCCCTGTTAACAATAGGTGTTAATTAGGTGTGAACGATAGCCATGTGATGTGAGTATCAGTCACATGGAGGCAGGGCTTAAAAGCCTGAATTTTGCCTGAAACTCTCAGACTGAAGAAGTCTCTTGGAGGAGAGACGAAACGTTTCATTAGAGAAGAACCCGTCCAGAAGACCTATACAATTTTTTTCTTTTTGATATATTATTGCTTTATACATAAGCAACAGCAAAATTATGATAAAAATTACCATAAAAACGAACTACGTCAATGGTTTGAATAATTTTAATAACATATAGCCTACTTTTAAACTCTGATCATAAGAAAAGTGTGTTTTGCAGCAAATGACAGTACAGTCAACAAAAACTCCCAAAAATCTTTGTGCACTTTTTTTCCTCACTCTTTATTATATTGTCCCCCCTATTTTCCTGACTTACTGCAACTCATTCTCACTCTGTTTTGTCACTTATATCCAGAGGTGATGTGAAGAAGTTTTGCTGATATAAAAAAAAAAAAAAATTGGCTCTGGCTCATATTTTCTCTCTCGCTCAATTCATGCAATTCAATCAGCAAATTCCAAACAAATTCAAACTTATCAATATTTTACTGTAGTCCAGCGGCGTGGCTATGGGTGGGCCTAGATGGGCATAGGCCCACCCACTTTGTACCTGGGCCGGCTTTCTTAAATAAAATAAAAAATAATAAAATTCTATGTATTATTTAGTTCTATGTTTGAGGGTGTCACTCAAAACCATCAACTATTTGACTTCTGGCCAGCAGCAGCGACGGGCGGATACAAGTGAGTGAACCGTGTCGCTGCTGCTTATCCAGGACGAAACAAGAAACACCAGTTTACTTTAGTCTCTGCTGTCACGTGTTGTTGAAAACATTCCTGCAGCTTCATCTGCTCCTTCTACTGTCATCCCATAGAAAGTCAGCTGCTTTTAATCATTTCTTCATTTGGTTTTAAAGTCATGCAACAGTTATGGGGAGAAGGTGCAGGAGTGTGTGCGGCTTACTTCCGCTTGCTGATCCTTTCTTTTATTTTGAAAGTCCGGGGTGTCAGTTTCCGGTTCCGGTGACATATCCGTAACCGGTCCCGATGCACGCTCCGCGGAAATATGGCGGGGTCGTTATGGAGGTTCTGCTGCAGGAGGTGGAGTACAAGCTGTACGACCTCGCCTTTGACTGAAACTCTGCGGTGTTTCAGCGGCAGGCCCACGTCTTCCTCGACGGGCTCTTTGGGCCGGGTGTCCGGGAGCTCCGGACCGGGAAACGAGGTGAGTCTGCTCGAGACCGGAAGTTCTGTCAAAACCCCTGGAAGGTCAAACATACACCGCCTAGCCTGACAGCCGGCAGTGGTGGTCTAAACCCTCAGAGTACTTCTTTATTTGTATATTTATTACATTTTGTGGTTGTGCACTGTACATTTTATTTGTTCCGAGTATTTATTTACAAGAATCTTTTCAACGACTCTTCTACAAGTGTTACTTTTGTTCAAAATACTATTTATTGAATTAAAAATGTACACAATCTTTGACTTAAGATGTCTGTTTAGTTATTGTCAGAAAACTTTTCATTCATTCTTTTGACATGGAAAGTTAAAGGGATGATAAAAATATTTAACTATATTCTCAATCTTTAAAGTAAAATATACTTCAGGTAATTGTAAAGTTATTTTTTAAATTATTTATGCAAATAAAATACAAAGAATGCCTCTGTCTGGATTAATGGATTGTTAATCTTAAAATTGTTCTAGTTTTACTAATTTAAAGTTCTGAGCTCCTCTTTGTGTTTTATTAGATTTTATTTGTTATTATTTATTTTTGTCTTTCAGAGACCATCTGTACAGGCCCACTCCAAAGCTCTTCACCTAAACTCCTCTGTAATCAGGTGAGCTGTGCTGTGACCCAGCTGCTGTTCTATGTTTCGAGGCGCAGATTTCAGCACCTGCTCAGTGTTTATTTCCCCCCCTCGCTGCAGACGCAGTTCTCAGTTGCTGTATCCCACGTTACAGTGTTGCGCTTGCAGAGCGACCCACAGCGACGCAAAGCTCAAAGACCCCTTCACATTAGCTCAGAAAGACCTGATAAGTTTATATGACGACATCAAAAAGGTGAGCTGCTGAGATGACCTAATTGTTACCACAAATTTCTGTAGTGAGGATTTCCGTTTTGGACACCCAACAGTAGCTATTTTTATTTGGTATCGCAGGAAATGTTCGTCTCTACAAAAGAACTGAAGCATCTGTGTGATTATTATTTTGACGGCAAAGGCAAAGCTATCCGACCAATCATCGTCATCCTGATGTCCCGGGCCCTTAACATCCACAGCAACAAAGCTGGGTGAATATAAATGTCCTGTTTTTACAACTCAAGCTGTAAATAGTGACACGACAATCAGATTGTGTGCATTGCTTTGTAATACAGAGCAGTGGTCCTCAATTTTAGACCTCGAGGGCCACGGCGCTGCATGTTTTAGATGTTTTTCTGCTCTTCAGCAGGTCTTTGTGTTTCTGCAGAAACCTGTCAATCATTCATTCCAGTCAAGTGTGTTGGAGCAGAGAAACGTCTAAAAAAAGGCTGTCCAAGGACCAGGGTTGAGGACAACTAATATAGAGCGTCAAAGCTTTAATTTCCTGTTGTGTGCTGTCTGTTTGCAGAGAAGTGCTCCCGGGGCAAAGGACAATAGCCATGATTTCGGAGATGATTCACACTGCCAGCTTGGTGCACGATGATGTAATAGATGGATCAGACGAGCGAAGGGGGAAGAGATCCATCAACGATGTGTGGGGGCAAAAAAAGGTACAAACTCCGTTTTTTTCTTTAACTCCCATGCCGTATTCTTCTTTTGCACAACTTCCTTGTTACGACCGTTTTCTCTCTCAGGCTATTTTGGCTGGAGATTTCATCCTCTCAGCTGCCACGATGGCCTTGGCTCGGCTCGGTAACAGCGCAGTGGTGAAAGTGCTTTCCCAAGCAATAGAAGACTTAGTGCGAGGTAAATTACAAAACAAACCAAAACAAAACAAAAAAAAACCACTCCAACCCAGTCTGAAAAAATTGGGTCACTTGGCTTGTTCCTTGCAGGTGAATTCATGCAGCTTGGCTCCAAAGAGAACGAGAACGAGCGCTTCAAACACTACCTAGAGAAAACCTTCAAGAAGACGGCGAGTCTCATGGCGCACAGTTGTAAAGCAGTATGTACGTTCTGTTTCCACATGAATGGCTCGGTGATGGAGGGGGAGCCTCGCTCTCTGCACTTCCTGTGTTTTTCGTTGACTGCTGCACCTCTTTATTTGAAGGTGTCCATGCTGGTGAACTCGGACCCGGAAGTTCATGAAATAGCCTACCAGTATGGGAAAAATGTCGGCATCGCCTTTCAGGTCAATTTCTGATGCTTGAATTGCTTAAAATTGGTGCAGCTCTGGTTTAAAAAAAAGTTTGATTTTATCCTGTTTTTGTTATTTTGTAGCTAGTAGATGATGTTTTGGACTTCACATCAGGAGCTGGTCAGCTGGGGAAACCCACAGCTGCTGATCTAAAACTAGGTTTGGCCACAGGACCGGTTCTGTTTGCTTGTCAACAGGTGAAATAACTCCAACGTTAAACAGTTTTCATCAAAAATTACGCATAATCCAAAAAAAACTCTCATTGTGTTTGGTTGTATATTTGTATTTATTTTATGTAATTTCTTTCAGTTTCCCGAGCTTCATGCAATGATCATGAGACGTTTCAGCTCCAGAGGAGATGTAGATCGAGCCTGGCAGTACGTCCTTCAGGTATGAATCTGAAATCCTACATCCACTTAGTATAAAATCTATAAAAGGTAGTAAAACCTTTTTTTGTGATACAAAAATCCATGTTTATTTAAATGTTTAGTGCTGTGGAGTAATTTAGTTAACAGCAACCTAAGAACAAATAATTTTTTACGTTTGGCTTTAAAAAGAAAATAAATTTGAGACATTTTGTCCCATTTGCCTTTTTTAGTTATAGATAAAACTCCTTTTCTTTCTCGTGTTAATGCCCCTGCACAAACTCAGACAAAACATGATTTTATTATTGTGCATCCCTGGTCTGTGGCCTGTAAAATTCCAATCTGAATAACTTAATACAAAAATAATTCATCCTTTTAATCACCCTGCAGTTGAAGGTGCAATTTTTAGTGTTTTGATTCAACAGGGTGTGATTTGATGCAGCAAAGCGCAGGAATCATCTCATCTGATTATTTACTTAGTTTGGCTGCTCCTTCTGCTTATAGTCAGGGGCGATTCGTATGTTTTTTTCCTCTTTATGACGCCTTTTTTTTAACTAGTTCCTGTTGACTGACATGAAACAAGGAGTAAATATTACCGTCTGCAGCTGTGAGACGACACAATAGTATTGTGACAACTACAGTATATGTTGTTCTTGTGTCGGATGAATGTGGCTTATAGTCCTAAAAATACGATTATAAAAAGTATAACATGTGTTGGGTTTCAGCTGTTACACTTTGCAGCCATATAGGATCTTTTTTCCTCCCTTTTTCAGAAACAGATTTATAATTGCGATTCGTTTTCCACGTTTCTACCCAATCTAAAGTTGGTTCTAAAGTCAAAGTGCAAACCAAGTGTTGGGTTTAAGTTTTTCATTTAGAGCAGTAAATGAAATGGGTCATAAATTCTCMTGACCCTCTGTTATTGTGTTTCAGAGTGACGGTGTGCAGCAGACCACCTTCTTGGCCCAGCGCTACTGCGAAGAAGCGATCAGACAGATCAGCTTTCTGCAGCCGTCTCCTGAGAGGGACGCCCTCATCAGGCTCACACAGATCGTGCTCAGCAGAAACAAATAAACCTCCACTGCCCGCCTTCTCCTCAGGCAGCTACTCCTGGAAAAGCGACTTGCCCTGTGACACAKGAACAGACCAGGGTGGAACAAACATATTCAAGTGTTGCTTCTGTTTATAAAGATGCCTGGTGCTGGCTTTAGTGCCACTATGATGAATTGGGTCTTTCTGAACTTTAATGTAATGCATACTTTGTCTTGTCGTGTAAATTAGTTTTCAGTTTCTAAATTGAATCAAGGTCACGGTTTGATGTCAATGAACATCTTAAAGAAAGAAAAGGCACTGAAAACGTCACCGTGAACCTTTACRTCATGCAGTACTGTAACCGTAACCACCTCCCACGTCTCAGATCAGCCAGCTGTGAGCACAAGYTAGTTCTGAGCTGAGGAGCTGTTGCGAAATCTGTAATTCCAAGTGAGACTGAAGCGCAAGACTTCGTCTGGATGTGATGTCCTCAGAGATCCGTCCACCTGTCAAAAATGCCAAACAGTCATGTGTTTTTCCACTTTGAGGTTATTTAAAGTGTCTTGTAACAACAAAGGCCTTAACACCTTCAATGACTGTGTGCTCAATAAAAAACAAATGCTAAATGTTTATTTAAATAATGGCTTTGCTTCTTTAATTCCTAAATAATGACACATTGTACGTAGATTTGTTTATTATAAAAGACTGTACATTAAATTCCCAATCAACATATTGTATATACAAATAATGAGCAGAGGGAGGCGAATATCTTTACTACTCATGAAATTGAGCAAATTTTTGGGAGAATAAAAGTAACAGGGGGACAAAAAAAAATCAATGTATCAGCTGCGATTTCCTGAAACGGGATCACTGCAGGCAATCCAAATGTTGGGTACACGTCCAACAGCCAACACAAGAATGAAATACCTTGTTATAAAGGTGGTTCCTGAGTGACACCATTACCTGGCTGATTCTACTTGAGTCACTGTAAAACACAACATGATCATTGTTGCTTTAAGACGGAGGTAATAAGTCGTTTGTTGGTCTGCAGTACTACATCTGATTTGTCACTCGGCAGGAAGTCCAGTCGGAGCTAAAGCTACTGTGTGASTTAGCTTAGGGTAAAATATCAGTTGGTGTCTAATATTCAGCCTCAATTTTCTTCTTTTTTWAAAATATAAATTAGCATCACATCTGTAACTGCAAAAATAAAAGACCTCCGACTGCATAAACATGTTAAATTTTAATCAAAGATCAAAGGAAAGACAAAGCAGCTATCAGGGTTTTAAATCCAGATGTATAGTACTGTGCAAAAGTTTTAATCCGCCCCTTAATTTTGCTTTTAAATAGTTTCTTGAAGTCTTTTAAAGTGGTCTTGATAGAAAGATCTTCAAGCTCTTTAAAGGGCTTTGATAGTTTTACGTAAGTGTTTTTCGTTTTAATTTATTTTCACTGTGATGGACTTGTAATCTGCCCAGGGTGTCCCCTAACCCTTTTGGAGTTTGATTCAGAAAACCAATAAAATTCTCTAAAACTTGTCAGGTACTGGATTTAAAATGAAAATAAAATAAACAACGAGCCAAACAAAAACTCTGAAACACCTTCATAAACAATCGATCCAGAACACTTAAAAAAATGTAAAGAAAGATGACTCAAGACTTTTGCACAATACTAAAAGTTACCAGAGTACGTAAAATAAAAATGTAAGCAATAGTTAAAAAATATTTTAAAACTAAATGCTGAAAAGCCTCTCAGGCTAAATGACCTTATGGTTTAAAATTTTTCAAGAATAAACATTTATGATTTAAAAATCTGCAAAACCAACAAATTTGTGTCAAAAATCAAGCTGTTATGCATTTGAATTAACCTCAACTTTAAAGACATTTGGGATTAAGGTGAACAGCAATCATCAGTAATTGATCCTGAACGGGTCAGTGTCAGAGCAATTAAGGCGTGGGAACTAGGGGAGCCGAGGTTGCTACAGCATCACCTGGTGGATGATGACATGTCAAAAATGAARTAATTTTATGAAAGCATGAGTAAACAAATGAAAATAAATAAATCCACCAGTGTCCTGTAGGTTTATATTTCAATTATAATTTAATAATGTATAATTAATGGGTGAAGTTAAAATTCTAATGGGTCAAATCCTCATTTAAACCACAACCTTTTCTCACTTCACATGTTCTCACAGCAGCCCAGATGTAAACACATCCCCAAGGCTTAATAAAAACTAAAAAAGCATGAGTAAACAAATGAAAATAAATAAATCCACCAGTGTCCTGTAGGTTTATATTTCAATTATAATTTAATAATGTATAATTAATGGGTGAAGTTAAAATTCTAATGGGTCAAATCCTCATTTAAACCACAACCTTTTCTCACTTTACATGTTCTCACAGCAGCCCAGGTGTAAACACATCCCCAAGGCTTAATAAAAACTAAAAAAGAAAAAAAGATCAAATGGAACATTTTGTTCTGCTTCAAAAACATTCAAATTCACAAAAACTGAAAAMACAAACAAAATTTTATTTGTATAATTTTAAATACTAATTTAAAAAAGTGATAGTATGAAAAACCTTGTATTTGACTTAAGAGTAAAAAGTTCAGTGATTTCGACAGTTTAAAAAAAGGTGAATACAACAAAATGAAAGCATAATGGCAAAAAAACCTTAAGATTACAATATATTTGCATGCTTTTATGCAAAAACKGGATTTCAGGAGGATTTGTTTACAGTATTTAAAAACAAGTCATGGATGTTTATTTTTTTCTGTATGAATCGAAGGAGCCATCGCCAACATTCACTGAGGCTGCAGCCCACATTTTATATACAAATACTTCAACTGAAGGTGCTTTTTGTGGCGTTTTATTTGTTCCATCAACGCTAAAGATGTTCATCCAAGTTTTCTCAAATCAGAAAAATCTTTGTTCAGGCAAGATGTCACCGCACATCTTTCAGCTGTTTCCAGCCAGCGTGTGCAGATTATTCTATATATATGTCACCCACACAACCCTAGTCACACCAAAATAAACTAAATCCATGTCATTTTATTTTCAATCAGTAAGAGAGCAAACAATCTGTCTTTAAAAAGAATGGGATCTACACGCCTCAGGAGTTGCATTGCTGTTGTCAGTATTTCACCAGACAGGACTGAATAAATAGTACTTTTACTGCGACGTGGCTTCACTCGGCGTAGTGCATGATGCTCTCCACGTAGTTGCCAGGAAACAGGCCGGTGACGCCGTTGCACACGCCTTCGAACCAGCCGTCGTCGTTCTTCTTCACGACGTAGATGATGGCGCCCTCCATGAACGTYAACTCGTCCTCTTTGTCCTTGATGTAGTCGTAGATGGCCACCACTGCGGGAACAGGACAGGAGGCGTTTGAGCAGGCTKTTTTTAGCGCGACGACGCAACAACTCCCSCCTCGGAGGCAAACCTTTTTCAACGTAGTTCTTCGGGGCCCACTGCGGGTCTCCGTCGGCGTACGGGTCGCTGTAGTGCACGATGGCGGCGTCCTCCTCCTCTTCGTAGTCCACGGGAGGCGGCGGCGGCGGCGGAGAGTCGTCGAACATGGGCATGTCGTCCGGAGGCGGAGGAGGAGGTGGAGTCGGAGTGTCTACGACTATTTGACAATCAGAAAACGGAAAGTTAGAAAAGAAAGCGTCGCTCGTTTTGGATGGATGGACGTTGCGGGTCAGGAGGACGGTGACAGATTCATGCAGGAGTGTTAATAAAAAACACAAACATGCAGAGGAAGGTGGGTTTGCACTCGGTGAGCAGGCGGCATGACATCACTCAAGTAAAAAGCTTTCTGACGTTTGAGCCTCTTCTGCTGTGACTTTCAAATGTGTTTTCAGGCATGCATGTAAAAAAAAAAAACTTATGAGTGTATCATAAGCATGTATTGACATTTACAAATTAAAACGTTTGTTTGCCATCATCAGAACTACAAAATAAAAGCAATCGATGACATAGTTTTTATAAATGGTCCTTTTAGACAACTCTTCCAATGGTAAGCAGCAATTTTTAAGATTTAATACCTTTTTTTTTAACCATAACTTATATATTTAGACCCCAGCTACAATACTCCAGACATTTCAGGGCTTCTACCAGCAGAGGGCAGCAGAGAGTCTCATCTTCAGAAAGTCTCTAGAACACCAGTGCAACAAACAGGAACTCAAACTTATGAGGAAAGGAAAAGACATAAAACCAGTAACTACAGATGTAGATATAAAAATAAAAATAAATAAATAAAAACTTCAGAAGCAGAGAAATTTGTTTGATTGAGGAGTTGACGATTTTAAAGGTTGCAAAGCACAACGCATGCTGGATGTTCTCGGAACGGGTAAGGAGGAAGTAACTTGTGTGTGTGGCCTCTTCACTTACTGCTCTCCTGCATCCTGGCCACAAAGCCAGTCAGAGGTATCTGTGGAGTCAGCTGGGGCATGGGGGGAGGAGGAGGTGCGACAGACACTGAAAGCCAGGAAAAAAGAAGAAAAGAAAAGAAAAGAAAACAGCAAGGCAGGGACGGTGAATGAGAGAAAGAAAAGAGAGAGAGAGGAAAAAAAGATAGAGCCCATCAATCACGAGGAATGTTCAGAAAAATAAGAGCGAGAAGCAACACTAGAGCTGAAATGATGCACTTGCCACATAAAGCCTTGGGTGAAAGAATTTAGTAAAATCTGCGACTGTGATGAGATTTCATCTGAGGATCACTGGGGTCAGCAGATAAACGGTGGATTATCATTATTTTTCAATCTGACTCTTCAGACATTTACAGACACGAGTGTAGCCACAAGAGGGCACTGTTCACAGGAAAACACAGCTCGTTCAGACTGCATCTGGATGCAGGCCGTGTCATCTGAAAACCAACAACAAGAAAAGGTCTCGAAACTCTGCTTCTTTTAAACATCCCTGAAGGGACTGTTTAGATTTTCTGAAGTAGTGTTTCATTACAGATAACAAGTCAGCTTCAAAAAAATAAATAMATAAAATGGAAACACTCTTTGAAGATGCGCACGTCTGTTAAGACTTAAGAATGTATCACTCTTATTTTTTAATTTGCACATAGAGATCAGTGAAATGCCTCAGCTGGGTCAAAGCCTAATAAAAATGCAATCGAACCCAAGTGGAACAGCTGACGAAACATCTGATTTTAAATAATGTCACTGATGAGTTGTTTGCTTAAAATCTGTTACAGATCGAAGAAATATAATATGCATTAAACTAAAGGTAGCACACAGGTACAAAGAGTTCACCTGTACTTTCAGAAGAGTCAATAAGGGTGACAAAAAACCAAACCAGGCATTACTTGTGTTTACTTTGTGACTGTGTCCACTGAAAGAACGTGAGTTTTTGTGCTTTGTCATTCGGGAGCTTTAAAAGCAGGTTGTAGAAGGAAACAGAAGGGCCTTACTTGAGTTTTGGCCATAACCAGGAGTGCCTCCGTTAATATGAGGCTGCTGCTGCTGCTGCTGCTGCTGTAAGGAGAACTGTGAAGTGACTGACGGCGCCCGGCGGTAGGTGCCCGTGGCCGAAACCATAGAGACAGAGGAGTTGGAGGGGTTGTGCCGCGAAATCTGCCGTGACATGGTTCCAAACTGGGACACTGGAGCGGGGCCCAGTCCAGGCCCAGCAGCCACCACTAGAAACACCCACAGACAGACAGACAGGACAGAGACGGAGGACAGGCAGAATCCAGGAGGGGAGGAGGTTAGACAGAGGAGAGAAAAAAATGACCAATTATGAATCATCAACACCATGGAAAAAATACTGAGAGCTTTTTAAAATACTGATCAGAGCCCCAAACCTTATGGTTAATAATAATGAACGAATCAAAGGTAATTAGGTGAGACATTATTGATTGTTAAATGATAACATGGTTACATAATGCACAYTTCATGAGGAGTCCCAAGGTGTCAGTCAGAAGAGAGACAGATGGGTGGAGGAGAGGGAAAACAGACAAACTGAGCCCTTTTAAATAAACAAGTAAATAACTTTAACTTCAAACTCAGCATTATTATTTAATAACAAACATTAACTCTAATTTGTAAGAATAGTTGACATGAGTGTGTAAAAAAAACAAGAGAAAGATTAGAGATTACACGTTTAGTTTCCTTTTCGTTCTGCTTGCGCATTTCCTCTTCACTTTTCAAGATAACGAATAATCTCACTGGAGACTGAACCCTCAGATTGGAGAAGGGCGGAACCGGAGGAAGCTCAGCTTTGAAGGAACGCAAACAAACGTCTCCGTAACACCAGCAGCAGAGCTGAGGGAGTGTGCTGATATTCAGAGGAGGGACGTTTTAAGTGATCTTCACACTCGAAAATTCAAAAGATTACAGGAATCAAACATACACACATTAATTCTTCTAACCTCATGGGGACTTAAAATTGACTTACATTAACCTAACCCCCCCCCCCCCCCCCAAATGGCCAAAACACTCTTTGACCCAGAGTACACCACTGAAGATTAAGTCCTGAAATTATTTTAGTAGTGCGGTGTGCGATCAGTCATGTGATGTCCAATTCAGTTAWACACATCAGTGATTACRCCAGCATTTTGATTAAAAGAAAAAAAGTTGTATGATGCAGCTTTAATCAGAATCCCCTTTCAGAAAGGAAATTAATAGAAACATATATACTGTACCTGCACAAGAGAAGTCTCAAAATCACATTTCTGTACAGAATTACCATTAGTAGGTTTCTGTCTTTCAGCAACTTTGTTTCATTTCTAGGACGTAGTGAAACTGAAACTTGTATTATAGCAGAAGACTGAGAAATAAAACCACCATCACCAGAAGCAACATTTAAAACAAAGTTATAACAAACTATTAACTGATTATCACAACAACTTTCACACTGCAAGCAACTAAAAAGACAACTAAAGCTATGTGTTGTTTGCCGTCTGCAGCCAATTAATGTTTAACGTGTCTCCACTTCCTCAGTACTGTTACTGATTCACAGGATGTCAGAAATAGATATATGTCTGACAGATCTATTGCTGGTGTCAGGGTTTTTTTTTTGTACTTAATTAAAAATATATCATGAATTTTGCTTGCAGTGTGCACAGACAGACACCCACAGCCCAACTCAGAAATCTCTTTCCAACAAGTGAAGCAGCGATCCACCACCAGACAGGAGACAAATCCTGGAGACGATGAATCTCACCTAGGGGTGGAGGTGGCGGAGGTGGTGCTGGCGGTGGCAGAGGGGCCAGCCCAGCCACGGGAGGACCAGGTGGAGGAGGTGGAGGTGGGGGAGGTGGAGCGAACATGGGTGGGACTGAAACAAGCACTGAGGTTAATTGAAGCATGTGATACCGCTGCCTCCGGCGTCTTCGCTCTGTTACGTAAGAACCCCTCGACAACTGGAGGAGCGTTTTGGCTTTTTTTTATTATTATTKTTTTAACCAAGCAGACGTCTCTGTGACGTGTTTCCATGACAACCAGCGTGCAGAGAGAGCTGCGGACAGCCCTCCCTCCGCTGCTCGACTTGATCCTGGGGCTGAAGTAAAAGCAGCTGCAGGAACGGGAAGTGCTTCTCTCTGAGCCGACATCGTTTTTGCACAAACCACAGCTAAGGACGTCATGGTGTAATGCAACTGTGTGTGCAGCRTGTCCTGGATGCTATGTGGACTTTACAGTTTGAATGTAAAGCTGCAGGCCTCGCACAGCTTGGCCTATTTACACAGTTGAATAGGGAATCAGCTGTGTGCCGAGAACACAAAGGGCCTCAATAATCCCTGTCTGGTTAACACTGGCTTTTTGTAGTACAGTCCTACAATCAGCAAACATTATCTTTTACTTACACCTTGTCATATAATGATTTTATAGGCTTATAGTTTTAAAAAATGCATTGTTTCCTAAGTATTTTAAATGTGCAGTGTCTGGACATATGATCCTTTCAAAACCATGTACAAACGTACATGCTGCTCTGGTTCACACAGATGTGCACATGGTGTATACGTCAGAACTTTAAAATAAAAATCACTCAAGGAAGGTTAAAAATAAAACAGATTTGAACTTCTGTAAGTGTAAGATGATTAGGTTTTGTTGCTAAATAGCCAGTGTTCGGCTCACCTGGTCCAGAGTTGGGGATGGAGGGTGTAGGCACAGCGATAGGAATGCCAATTCCACTGCTGCCGCTGTTCTCCCTGCTGCCGCTGCCCCCGCTGCTACCACTGAGGAGGTGGCGGGGAGAAAGGAGAAAAGATGACTCCTCAACAAGGGCAAACTGCTCAATCAGTGATTGTTAGCACAACTCTGCTTATGTTATTGTTTTGAATTATATAGTCATGGCTTTCAAATTTACAGTGCAATGTAAAGTATAGCTTAACGTGTGTAATACTTAAAACTACTGCAGAGGTGTTTAGTCATACATATTGATTCTGTCAGCTTGTTAAAGTTGTGCTGCAGTGTGACACACCCTTCTGAGCAAGACGTGAATCACACAAAAACAGAAGGAAACTTAATCCAGAATAAAAGGGAGATTATTAGGCTTTCTGCATAAATGATTTTAAATATTAGAAACTCAAAATGAATTAATCCCTTTGGAATTTATTGTTTATTTATTATTAACCTGAGCTAAGAATGAATCCCATTTTCACATTTGTCATCGTTTTAAATTCCTTTTTGTAACCATATAAATCAAGATGCATCAATTTCATGCATCACAATGTGACATTAATGATTTCAAGTACATTTTAAAATTTCAACAATTATTTATTATTTGGTAACTTCATGTTGAGGTATGTAGAAGGTGGAACTCTGAAGTGCACGGTGCACACAACAGGGAGAACTGATAAAGACATGATACGTCACCATGTAGCGATGTTTCCATCAAAATGTAACGTGAACTTTGAGCAAACTTTTAAAATGTTGCAAAAAGGCAAAAGCAAATTGGACAAGTTTCCATCTACTGGTTTGGAGCAAATCAACAAGGCTACATAAAACATAATTTCATCACATGTCGATGTTACACATGGCTGTAATAAGCAGGAAGTAGATGTTGCAAACTACCAGGGACAATGGAGAGATGATTTCAGAGATGTGTTGCGATCGGGCAAGTTGTAATTCTTCTGTCATATCAGCTAATATTGGTGATGTTACAGGCTGTCCGGCGATGTAGAGAAAGAAATGCAATTTTTATGAGAATATCGTGGAAGCTGCAGGCAGAGGAAGCAGCYGATCAATCATGTAAAGTAAATGTTAGCTACGTCAGAACTGTTTCCCCTTTGGAACATTAACTCTTATTCTAAAAAATCCAAAAACCACCTCAAGAGAGCTTAAATGGATCCCTGATTAATTGTAACATTAGATGTTATTTGATAAACATTGATTTTAACTGTAAAATAAAGACTGTAAAAATACTGTAGGATGTTTAGTTTTGTAAATWTTTAAAAATATATTTTAACAYGGGCAGAGCCATTTTATTTAGACGCAAAGCATTCTGGATAAATGATGACGTGGATAGGTCCTTGGTGTGAGGCTGTTAGCGAGCTATATCCACCCTGAAGGTTAATCTTGGACAACATCTGATGATCGACTCTTTTAAATAAAACCAGAGAGCGTTGACAGAGAGGAGAAGGTAGAAATGACTCAGCCTGKAACTGAAAATATAGATGGAGGACAACAGAGCTGCTTCATGGAAGAAGAACCTCAGCTTGGCCTGTTAGCCTTCATGCTAGCGCCAATGCTATATTGCCTTATATGTATTAGCTTGGTGCTAGCGCGACAAACAAGCTAAACTGAGGTTCTCCATCCATATTTTCAGTTGCAGGCCGAGTCATTTTTGTGTTCCCCTCTCTGTCATGTGGATGGAGGACCTCAGTGACGAGAGGAGAATGTGTAGCGCTGAGTTAATACATATATATGGTGATAGCGTCGGGTTTAAAATTGTAGAAGTTTAAAAATTATAAAAACTAAACAGCCTACAGTATTTTTAGTCTTTATTTTACAGTTAAAATACATGTTTATCAAATAAAGTCTAATGTTACAACTAATCATGGATCCCTTTAAAAACATTTTTTTGCAAAACTGAGGACGTTTTTTCCAAATGTTGTCATTTCCATTAAAGAAAAATGTTGATAGAAACAAGGTTAGTGTTTGGAAGTTCTTCAACTTCCATGAAAAGAAGAAAATTGATTAACAAGCCACACTATATGCTAGGGCTAGGAAGACACTTAAAAACTAGGGGTAGGRCAAAGACTAAGAATTGAAATTGAGCCTATGGTCTGATATACATTTTAAAAATTAAACCAGAGCATTTTGCTAAACATCTGACATAGTTTTTCCAAGTTAAAAGTATTAGATGAAGCAAAGCCTAAGTGGAGCATTTGATATTAGAATATAGGACATGTGAGATGTGTGTATGTGTGCCAGCGCTGCAGWAGCTCGGTTTCATCCTGCCTTTGACCTCAGGGCTTGTAGATCAGGGGTCTGGCCAAATGAATCCCCCCTCCTCAGCCTTGATCCTAATATCTGCCCCCGGCCCACATCCTGACTGCTACTCCCTCTGCCTCGTTCCTCCCAGCACTTTGACTGACCCTCCCCGACTCTCACCCGTGACCGTCTCTTGACCCGTTCTGCTCACGTCTTCTTCGTCTCTAAAGAGATTCCTCGTCTGTTTCCCCGACTCCCCTCACTTTCCATGCCACTGAACCCAAACCCACTCCCCCCAAATCTCTTTATCCCCTTTTCTCCCTCCATCAGCCCCTCCCTACCCTCCTGTCTGAGCCCCCAGGCTCTTCAGGCACAAACAACAGGGTTACCCCCAATGAAAGATGACGACGATGGCAGCTGAAGCAACGTGCTGCAGGGCATGAAGGCCAAACAAKATCATGTCATCCTTCTCTCAAAGGTAACGCTGCCCTTCTCCTGCTCTCTGCATTTTTTTTCTACTTCCACTATTTCTGTTCTCTAACTTAATGTTATCTTACGCAGCTTTAATTTTTACCTTTTCCCCTCATTTTCCCCCAGATTGCAGCAAAATAATAATTTAACACTTTTATTTTTGCTGKKTWTTTTTAGCCATGTTTATTTTAAGTWCGTGAATCAGTTGCTAATAATGTTTTAGTAACTTATGAGGAAGTTCTAGGATAGCTGAAGCAGAAAGATTTATGATGCATCCAAACGTCTTTACATCATTCTGTTCGATTCAGAAGCAGCTGAAGCAGAAATTTACACTAAAATCTCTCGTCTGCAGAAGCTGTGACTAGCATCATTYCTAAAAATAATGATACCTGCCTGTTGTTGGCCGTGTAATCTTCCCTATATTAGATAATAACCTAAAGAAGGAGCCTGTATTGAMTTCAGACCTCTCAGGTTGACAGAGAATGATGAGCTGAATAAACCCAGCTGACTTTGCACCAGCGTAATCAAATAATAATGCCACAGCAATAACAGCWGACGTGGGGAAGGTCTGACTGGATCAGGCTTTTAAATGAACATTACTGTAGCTGTARGCCACAGTTTGGTTACAGCAGCGCTGCAAAGTTCTGCATATTTTTTTCTGATTTCCTTTTAAATAAGTAAAGCTAGCAGAGCGAGAGAGAAGAAGTTGAACATGAGGAGGAAAAAGAGGTGTAGTATTTATTAGCATCATCGTCAGCAACACGGGCTTTTTAGCTAATGAGACGACTTCATTCGCTCATAACTAATTTGATAAAAGTGCCTTTGGTTTTCTGCTGCAACATTTTGTGGACCAATCCCTGGAAGCAGCRTTCAAGGGTTTTCACACTACTTTTTYTTTTTTTCCCAAAGAGCACTTTATATCAGAGGCTTTCACTGATATTAATATCAGAGTAATTCTGGTCAGGGTAAGAGCCCCTCCAAGCCTTGTCAGACAAATGCAGGATTTAGTGCAGCAGAGGAAAAAGAGAGGAGGTGTGAAAGTGCTCTAAGCTGCTGAATAAAATGAACAGATTAAAACTATCAAACATGGAGGAAAGCAGAGTTGCTGAGATTTTCACACACCACTGAAACTCTGACGACATATTTRGTGCTTTAAAGTGATGCTATTTTTCTACTTCCATCAAAAAAGGTATGATTGTATTTTCCATTAAAAAGGAAAGAATCATGAGTTTGAGTTTTGTGCACACACTCTAAATTGGGTCAAATTTCTACTAACTGAGGTTATTCAAAAAAGGCTATCTACAACAGGTAAGACATTAATAGTTCTAAACATGTCCACAAAACTTTGCTTCGAATGATCTGATTTACCCTTTTAATATAATCAACACAAAACAGTGCAGCAACTCCAAAAATGAAATGTCTTCTTCTACCTGTTTTTCTTTTTCTCATTTACCTGTGTGTGCGTTGCCTCTGGTTGAGCGACGCCGTACGTCCCGGGCTGTTCTGCTGGCCGGGCTGGCTGCCCAGTCGGGCGGGGCTGGTCATGTAGTCGTTGGGCACTGTGGGTGGCTTCACCGGTTCCAGAGTCTTGTAGGGCGTGTTGCGCCTGCAGTCRTCAGAAAATTTGAAAATAAAAAGTAAACATTCAATTAAAAATAAATAAACAAAAGATTACGTAATTTCAGTGGAAATTCAGCTTTCCGAACTTTGAGGTTATGATCAATGAAACTGGTTTTAAACACTTTTAGCTCACTCAGGAAGGATTAAAAWGAGAATAAAACGAAGCTCTTACCCGAGTGTGCCACGCCCTGACATTGGCGGGCTGGGAGGCTTCTGTGTTGGCGGATTGGTCCTCGATAGTGTTCCTGCTCTGACTGCCTGATTGTTTCCATGTTGCTGTGGTTAGGAAAAAAAAAAAAGAAATGTTACTTATTTTAAAAACAAATTCCCTCAGCCAAAGTGGATGATGAGTATTTATGTGACTGAAATGAAACGTTACAAGCTGCTCAGATGACAACTCCTCAGAAGAATATTTCAGCCGGCATCATTTCAGGATTATCCAATCCCAGCCAGGCTTGTGTTTATCTCAGTAACACCATGTTTGCACACTACTTTGTCTTCTCTAGTGTGTCATTAACTAATTTAAACTTACAAAAGAAATTCTATTTTATTTGTTGTTTAGAGTTGTCTGAGAAGCCTATACGCTTTACCTCAACTACAGAATATTCAGGGAGACTGGACTACATGAAACTTAAATTACAACATGGACAGGAGGGTCTTCTCTACAAGGACTACAAATCTGTTAACACGGGAAACGACGACACTGATCACAGGTGGAGGGATCTGATGTGAAGGGGACATGAACAGATGTATTAATAATATATAGGAGCAAAATGGGTCATGTAACAAACTAGACTTACCTTGGCTTTAAGCCACTTAATGTGGGCGAAGAAGAAAAAAAGAACAAATAAAAAAGAAAAGAGGAAAAAATGCACGTTAAAACGAACATGTCTGCAGGGATCAGCTGCAGCTTCAATCCAGAAGAGAAAAAAATGATACTTTGTAAAATAAAGTAAACAAATAGCAAAACCTTGAAAGGTCAGCCGTTTTAAGCAAGCAGAGGAAAACCCTGTAGCTCAACCATAACCTCGCCCTGAAAGTCAAACTTCAAAKAAATCTCGAACATAAAGAAGCTGCTAGAATAAAACTAATGTTGTCATTAGACGTTAAAACTAAAACATTTACCGGCATGTGTACCAAACATGTCTTAAAGGGATCCACAATTAGTTGTAAAATTAGACTTTATTTGATTTTCATTTATTTTAACTGTAAAAATACTGTAGGCTGTTTGGTTTTGTAAATTTTTAAAAATATATTTTAACACGGATGGAGCCATTTTATTTACTCACAGCATTCTGGGTAAATGATGACGTGGATAGGCCATCAGTGTGAGAGAGCTATATCCACCCTGAAG